AGATAGACATTTTGACACATGATGATTGAATTGAGTATTGAAAATTGTAGCACAAGTAAACAAATATATATATAAGAAGGATTTTGTTAGTATATAAAGTATATACCCAATGAAAAATTTTTCATATATAATTATATAAAATTATATATAATTATACGTAAATATGTATGGACAAATTTCATACAAAATTTTGCATGAAAAATTTTTCATGCAAAATTTTGTATGAAATTTGTCCATACATATTTACGTATAATTATATATAATTATACGTAAATATGTATGGACAAATTTCATACAAAATTTTGCATGAAAAATTTTTCATGCAAAATTTTGTATGAAATTTGTCCATACATATTTACGTATAATTATATATAATTTTATATAATTATATATAATTATACGTAAATATGTATGGACAAATTTCATACAAAATTTTGCATGAAAAATTTTTCATGCAAAATTTTGTATGAAATTTGTCCATACATATTTACGTATAATTATATATAATTATACGTAAATATGTATGGACAAATTTCATACAAAATTTTGCATGAAAAATTTTTCATCGGATAAGAAAGACAACTAATGTCATGAAAATTGCCGTTTATTTGCTGGCAAAAGAACGCAATTAATCCGAAATTATTATAGTAATTAGAAATTAAACGTTTTAAATTTAAAAATATATGGCATATATGTATATTAAAATAGTATTTCTCAAAACAGTATATTCTAAATACATGTGTTGTAACACATTTGTATCACAAAGGCCAAGTTAAATTTTTGCATGCTATGTTCAGCATCTCTGACTATCTGGACTAGTTACTATTATTATTACTATTAATTAAAATGAAGAATACACATATCACGTGTAACTTATAAAACGTGAATATTAATGATTTATTCTCTACTTTCAGCGAACAAGGCAAGAAGTTTATATTTTTACGTACCCATGAGTATCACTATTATCTGCAACATTTTCCTGTTCATTTCCATGGCGTTCAAGATCGTACGGCACAAGAAGGGCACGACTCATCAGCTGAGTAGCTCGGAAAGCAAACGTCACAATGACAACAAGCGATGGTTCGTATTTGAAAATATCATTGTCATTATTGTTTTGACCCAATGAAAAATTTTTCATGCATAATAATATATAAAATTTGTCCATACTTAATTATGTATAATTATATATAATAATATAAAATTATATATAACTATATGTAAATAATAATTATAATAATATAAAATTACATATAATGATACACAATTATATATAACTATATGTATAATTACATTTTTTGTATGCGTAATTATATAAAATTATGTATGGAATTGTGTATAAAGTTATACATGATTATATATAATATATATTAACATGTAGAGACAAGTTTTATATATAATTGTATATAATAATGTAAAATTATATATAATTTTATATAATTATGTATGAAAAATTTTTCATTGGGAATACATGCATTAATCCACATAACTGATAAAATTAATAACATCGATATAACGCCTCCTGTGAATGACCTCGCATAATGTCGATCGGGCCTCGTTCCTAATATGATGATTATTTTTAGACAGAGATTTTCCTAAGCCGTGGTTTGCTTTCATAATTATGAAATCTTCTGAGGAAATAAACATATCGCCGCCATTTTGACCGAGAGCGCGAGATTCCTCCGACGATACGAAAGCGCCTAGGATTCCGGAAAGAATGATGAACGATCGTGCGAATATAAAATCGAAGTGAATGCTATTGGTGTAAAAGGACCGGATAAAAGCCACATTTCTTAGAAGACCCCTTAAGAAAAAATTTTAGCTCTACTCGAAATTTGCCTCGTTATTTTTTAACATTTACTCGTCTATTTAAAGATAACCGCGACTGTCCAGAAATATTTATCCTCGTGGATAAAATCTTGAATATTCACGTGAACAGCAAGATTATCAAACTCAATGATTTTAATGTATTTAGGTGATTTCAGAGGTAGTGGTCCGTTTTAATGGTTCCACTTTGCACTATTCGCAAAATATCTTTTTAATTAAGAAAAACGCACGAGAAAAAAACCTTCTTAAGCCATATATTTTTAAATTTAAAACTAATGATCCAATATCTAGATATAAAAATATTACATTACATAACATAGATATAATGCAAAAATGTTTTATATTTATGTTGCTGTGTTATATCGTTATAACCAGTAAATAGCAGAGCAATATAACAATTTTAAGACAATTTGAATTAAATACTGAATTAAATACTGAAATAGTTACTGTAATCTGCAACATCATCGTTCGACCGTGTATTTCACGTGTTTGATGTTATAATTTTGGAACTCTCAAAAGTTCTTTGTACATTTAATTATTAGTTTTTCGTGCTAACCATGTAAACATAGGCTACAGTACTTGCACGGATATCACTACTTGAGTTTAGGCTGTCCTCGTTAACGTATTCGATAAAACTAATCGTTCGCGTCGTAATCGCAAGAAATATAATATGAAAAATATATTACAGGTTCAAACTGTATTTGAAGTTGTTTATCGTGATGGGCATAAACTGGTCCATGGAGATAATATCGTGGGTGTTCAAGGGCGTGCCTATATCCGTCTGGCATGCAACCGACATGATGAACGCTCTGCAGGGTATCATCATCTTCATCATATTCGTGTGTAAGGACAAGATCAGGAAGGGTCTATTAAAAAAATTTGGCTGTCGGGAAGACCTATTCTCCATAAACTCAAAGCGCAATGGTTGCAACAGCAAAAGTACTCCGCGCAACATCCCAACGGGAGTGACACTTCAGGAGAAGATCATCCCCTACATACAGAACTGGCGCGCAAAGAAATCGTCCGACAAGAATTCGACCAATTCTCCTAATGTATAATGCGAGGAGAGAATTCCTTTGGTGCAGAATCATCGTGGTCGGTAGTCTATAATATGTTATTGCCGTAATGTAATTTTGCAGTCAAAGTTAAATTTTGTATTATTGTACGTTGATCTATTTTTATTTTTCACTTTATACAGTGTATCTGGTGGCACAATACTAATAGTACAACACTCTCTTGTACGTTAAACAGTACAGGACAATTTTTTATCGTTTTACAGATTTAACAATAATTAGTAAAGAATTGATTACAAAATATCAACGAAAGTGTGTGATTGCACGGAAAGTGCTAAGTCGGTCTTTGTGAGAAGATATCTGATTGGTGCATTTCTAAAGATGGATGGAAATGCACTAACCAAAACAGAGTGTTTTCATTCAGCAAGCAACCAGCATCGAAACAAGCATCGTTTTCCGCTTGCTTTAGTAGCAGAAGAAAGAGGGCGCACTAATGCATTCGATCAAATTTTGACTTTATTGTCTATTGTAGAAGACTTATGCAGGTTTCACACTGTGTCCGATGTCCGACGTACGACGTCTGATATCCATTAGGAGAACAGCTTTCTAGTAGAGAATTCAATTCTCCATTGGAAAGCTATTCTCTTATTGGATATCGGATGCCTATTTAATTATAGTAGAGTAGATGTCAGTTACGAATGTTATTTTTTGCGTATTTTGTTTTTGTTCACGTATAGAGGAGACTGAAGTTATATGGCCCCAGAGATATGTTGCTTATATAGTTTTTTGAATATTTATCTTGAGAGGAATAGTGGATATAAAATCGAAATGATCCTTTTAAAACATAAATACTTCTCTCTGAGTTTCACTAAAATCGGAATAATATTACAGTTAAGAGATGGAAAAAAACTTTATAATATGGTAAGAACAAAGTAAATTTTTGAGTCTCTCGAAATTTTATATTAATATAATCGTGACTGAACGAAATTAAGCGATGTGTTATTAATTAAAATAAAATTTTTGCAAGTATATGATATACTGTTTCTCGTAATAAATGCAGTTTTCATTCATAAAATGACTGAAATCGAGCAACCAAGTAGACAAAGTAAAGTTGATTCAGAATTAAATGCCGGCTGGAGAGCTGTGAAGAGTTTTCGCGGAGACCGGAACTATTAATCAAGATACGTATTTTATAGAACAATAAATCCGATATCAGATCAAGATGGCTCTGTTGCTATATGTTCATACTTTAGTTATTATAAAACAAAATATACGGTAAACAAGGTCGTGACGGCTATTAATATATAGAAAATATAATAGAGGTTACTTCTATTATGTTTATACAGTCAATCACAACAATTAATTGTCTGAAAAGTTTCCGGGAAAAAAATGTTTATATATGAATTTTGCTATACATGGACATGTATGATTATATACAGAGTGTTCCAAATTACCTTCACAATCTCTCGTGAGGACGTAGAACAGATCGAGATGAACACAAAAGTCTTATACCATTTTGCGATATTCGTAATAATAGTCAAGATATTAATTTAAAAATACTGCTAAATGATCATGCGCGATATAGTAGATGAGCTGCAATGGCGTTGTTGTATACTTGTACATTAAGTCAAGCTGAACAAAAAAGCTGAACTCTATATTAATCATGTTACTCCATGATTTTAAATTATTATTTTTGTTTTCATTGTAAAATTTGAAGAAATGAAAATATTAGAAACAGCCTCCAATCGCCTTGATCTTGACAAATGTAAAAGTTGTGGCCCTGAACATTCAAAAGGTTTCAACCATCGGTCGAACACCTTGGGTACCAATGCTAATAGCAACAATATTGTAAATTTAAAGCCTTTTAACTCGAAAGATACTTAATAAAAAAATATTTTATTATAGTGTTTTGGAAAGCTCTCGAAGTAACTTACAAGAATATGCAATGAAAAATGAAGGTTTCTATTTAAGAAATTGAAGGTGACCTTCATGTGACGACTATCCAAGGTCAAGCCAATTGCACCTTCTTATGTCCCCTTCCAAACCATACAACTTTTGTTTGAAATATTTTTCCTTATCTTCCATATTTTTCGAGATATTTGTCTGGTTTGATTAAAATCACTCACTGTATATACAGGGTGAAAAGAAATTAGACCGACAAACTTTGAGGGGAAATAGAGGACATAAAAACATGCATATTTTATTCATAAAGTTTTTCTCTACGACGCTTCGTTTTAAATCTACAGGGTACAAAATAGGAATTTTATGATTTTAACAAAAAACAAACATATAAGTAGAAAAATTAAATTTATTTCAATTACATATATATATTTTAATCTTTAACAAACAATGAACAAAAGAACGGAACAAAAATGCGCAATTCATTAGCTCAATTTATAATAAATGTTCAAAAACTCCTTTTTTTATGGGGGTATATGAAAACTCTCATTTATGAGACACCTATTGAAACAGAAGCAGAATTGGTAGCCCGAATTACTGATCTAGCATATCAGGTTCAGAATATTCCTGCAGTCTTCGAGCGTGTGAGACAATCAATATTTCGACGATGTCATCTTTATGTTGAAGCAAATGGAGGAATTTTTGAACATTTATTATAAATAGCTAATCAACTGCGCATTTTTGTTCCGTTCTTTTGTTCATTGTTTTTTGAAGATTAAAATATATATGTGTAATTGAAATAAATTTAATTTTTCCACTTATATGTTTGTTTTTTATTAAAATCATAAAATTCCTATTTTGTAACCTGTAGTATTAAAACGAAGCGTCGTAGAGAAAAACAGTAACAAAATATGTTTGTTTTTATGTCCTCTATTTCCCCTTGTCTTAAGTTTGTCGGTCTAATTTTTTTACACCCTGTATGTATATGTATGTATATATATATATATATATATATATATATATATATATATATATATATAT